ATTGTCTACAAAATGGTTTATTTACTTTTGAGTTCTGACTTTTTCAAAAATTTCTGCAAATAAAACAAAATCATAGAAAAACGTCACGGAATTACGTACGCAGGTAGAGTTAGCTGGCCAGGCCGAGTAGTTACCAGCAATCGGATCTTGCAAGTTTTTAATTTCGTTCTAGTCTTACATAAAAAAAGGAATTCTTATTTAGTTAATAATCAGAGCAATAAGCGCGAGTTATTTAGAAGAATAAATATTTTTAACCCTTTACGGCCGGCTGCATAAGCCATTAAGCCATGTGAAAAGAAGTTCTCACTTGTGAACGCGTGTAAAACTATAAAAAGTTCACACATAACAATGCATTTGATGTTGCAACTGCAGACCTCAGCGTCGTGAAACCGACAAAATTTCCCGATGGGTTGTATGTGAAGTAAAATGATTATTTTGGTTAAATTATTTTGTTTTATTTGAGATTGATCACAAAGCTTCTGAATGATTGATGATTTATTCAGCATTGGCCCATGCACCGTAACGGGCGCATTTCTATGTTTTCTTGGCACATTTGGCAATGGTTTGTGTATTCTAGTATTTTTAAGAAAAAAATTCCGCCATAATATAACTACACCGTTTTTTATCACTCTTCTACTAGCCGACTGTTGCTATTTATATTTTCGTGTCATTAAACTATTTTATTATCAACAAACTTTGTTTGAGAAAATCGTTCATAATTCATGTGAAAACAATATTATTATCAACTTATACAATATATTAACACAAAAATTTCCTGAGATATTCATTCCATTTGTTCATTTTGAATTTTATATGCGTTTTTCATTGATTTTAATGTCATTTATCTCTGTTCAACGAGCATTCTATATTTCTAAATCGATCACAAAGCAATCGATCCCACCTTTTGTTGATAAACGACGTTGGTCATACATTTTTATTGTCATTGCATTTGTATTAGCTTATGGTTTCGAATTTTTTGGTTTAACTTTATTTTGTTCCGAATCAAATAATCGTGATGTTTCTTATCAATGGTTCGTATACACTGTTCAGCATTTACCTACAAATTCATTAGAACTGTTAACCAATGCAATAGAGAATAGGACGAATGATTGGGACTGTGTACAACAATATGTTCATTATATAAAAGCAAATTTTACGAAGACGGTAGAACATTATTGCCCAGAAGAACAAATAATGGAAATCTTAGGTGAGTAGAGATTTTCGTCAACTTGTTACGATTGACGTCTATTTCTGTTTAGGTCGATATTTTGATTCACATGACCGATTTATTGTTCGTTTAATTCAACAAATTCAACGTCATTCATTTGGTTTTACATTGAGTCGAAATGAAATTCGTGTCAAATACCATTATCACGCATGTATATTCAAACAAAATCCAAATCAGTTCTCAAAATTATACAATTTCATCTATGGAAAGATGATCGGGTTCAATCGATATACATTGATACTAAGTAAGATCTATTATCAGAAGTGTGTTTGTGTTTATTTGCTGATTTAGGCGATATCAAAGCAGACCGGTGTCAAAGTAACCGGAAAAAACGATGAATAAAAAACTGGAAAAGGAAAGTTGATTTCGAACAATGGATAAAAACGTATCATACTTGTGCTCATAAAAGCAAGAAAACATACAAAAACTAACGATCAGTATTCTAAAATGAACTGTTAAAATGTCTTCTGTTTCAAACTAGGCAGGCTTCAGTATAGGCGAAAAGCAAATTCAAAAAAGGGTTCAAATATTTGAAAGAAGTTTTATAATTAAACAAAAAAGCTGATAAAAGATTAAAAATATGTCAGTACTGAGCCATCAACAGTCATACGTGCCGGTTGCCAATAGATTCTGACCGATCGGTCTGAATAACTGACTTGAGTCAGTTATTCGGAAAGACTCGCTGATGGGATACATCTCGATAAGAGTGCGGATGCGACCATACAAAGCATGAATATTTTTTCTAATAAATATGCACACGATCATCTATTGCTAGAAGTGATCAGTTTTGATCCTAATAATAAAGACTAAAAATTGAAACGAAAGTTAAAAGTGCTCTCCAGAAGTAATCGCAAGTTTATATGCAATTAGAGCAAAGACATTGAGAAATAACATATTTTCTTAATAATGTTCTTGATAAACAGTTAAATACTTTTCATATTGACGGTAACTGTACTTCTCAACTTCTAGGATAGCTGCTTTAGATTAGCATTTGAAGGCCATATAACGGGTACGGCAGATTAAATTGCCGGTTTTTGATAGGGTTTTTTCTCAAATTAGACTTGATCAGAAGGTTGGGTTCTGATGCTAAAAGATAGAGAATTTTGTGTAGATTTTATTGATATGTTCTTTTTTAAATAAGCATGTACCGTTCTTTTGTAGCATTAAAAG